GGGGGGGGGGGGGAGGCTCCCCTTTAGTATTTCACTTGCATGCAAAGAGTTGGGACTCTGTAGGCATGTGGAGCCACCTAAATAGTGCTTAACTTGATATCTTTTCCTAGGGCAGTGGCTCGCATACTTCTAGAAACCTAGACCCTCCTTGGAGAGGTTCTGATTTGACAGATCCAAGTGAAGGCCAAGAATTTTCTGGGTGTTGTTTTTTTTTTTAGATGAGCATGCCAGATGATTCTGGCGCTGGGAGCTCCCTTATTACACAGAGATTCGTCCTTGAGAGATCCACCTAGATGTTGACATAGGTGCCTGCTTAGCCTTGCTGACTGTACAGTGTGATTGTAACTGCGTGGACATGGAGACGTCCTTTCATTGTTGCTATTTCTTCTCCAGGTTGTCATCCCTCAGAGGAATGGTAGGAAGGCTGCTACTGCTTCAGGCAAGAAAGTAGAGATAAAAATGCCTCTGGCTCCCATGTTCGCTGAGAAATTAAAATCACCACGTAGGAAGGGAGCCACTTGAGCCAAGTTGCCAAAAGACAAGAGGAGTGCCAAGCTGCAGGAGCACGAGAAGAGAAATGAGCAACAAGGATGAGGGTAAGAACAGCGAATCGGTCCAGGGTGAGGAAGGTGAAGAAGAATCCTCTTCTGGGGCACTCCTGGCTGGTGGCTGAAAGATACCAAGGGTCAGCCCTGAATGCTGTTGACATCACTCTTGGAGGTTTTCTGTGACAATACTGCCCTTCAGAAAGCTGCCTTGGTGATCCCTGTCTGGGTCTTCAGGCTTCGCTTCATTGATGAGGCGTCTCAGTGGACACTGACCTCTGCTGGCCATAGGACCAGAATCAGAGTTTTCTCCCAGAAAATTATACATTGATTGTTTCTATCTTTGTGCTTATGAGCCAAGCAGGTTAATTGTTCCCCAAACTTAATTCTCACTGATTTTTTTTTCCTCTTGACTGAGTCTGTGTAACATTTTAAATGGTATTGCTTCCAAAGCAGTAATTTTACCATTTTTTATTAAAATACTGTAGAAGTACATTTTATTATTTATTTATTTTTAAATCCTCACCCAAGGATATTTTTTCCATTGCTTTTCAGAGAGAGAGAGGAATATCAATGCGAGAGAGACACATTGATTGGTTGCCTCCCGCACGCACCCCAACCAGGGCCAGGGATTGAGCCTGCAAACGAGGTACGTGCCCTTGGCCAGAATCGAACCTGGGACCCTTCAGTCTGCAGGTCAACACTCTAACCACTGAGCCAAACCAATTAGGGCATCACAGAAGTTCATTTTAAATTATTTCAAAAGTAAAGGTTAAAATGGCAGAGAGTTTTAAAAAATATTTTTATTGATTTTTATATTGAGAGGAAGGGAGAAGGTGAGAGAAAGAGACAATGATGTGAATATCAGTTGGCTGCCTCCTGCACGCCCCCGACGGGATTGAGCCCACAACCTAGGCATGTGCCCTGATCAGGAATTGAACCGTGATCTCCTGGATGCCTAGGTCGATGCTCAACCGCTGAGCCACACCTGGCCAGGCAATAAAGATATGTTTTTGAAAAAAAGAATAATCATACTGCCCTGGCTGGTGTCACGAAGTTGGTTGGAGTTAGGGTTAGGGTTGGGCGTCTTCCTGTGCACCTAAAGGTTGCCAGTTTGAGTCCCAGTCAGGGCACATGCCTGGGTGGTGCTCACCACTACCTTTGGCTAGAACTTGGTCAAATGACCACAGCTCTAATCCCAAGGGAGTCTGGGAATATACTCAGCTCCACATCCCGGAAGAGGAATGAGTGGGATGAGCAGCTGGCCAGTCTCTGATGCCACCAGTGTCCTGTTCATGCTGCTGTTTTTTCCAAAGAATCCAAAACAAGCCTTTCCCTCAACCCACGTCTGCCTTCTAGGTCCTGCTCGCCTTCCATTTACAATCTGCCCGTGGCCTCTCCATCTATAATCACTTCGCCTTCAAAACAATCTCCACCTAACAGTCCAAGTGACCAAATAATAAAACAAACCCAAATTAGGTCACATCACTTCCCTGCTTAACATTCTCCAATGATTCCCTACATCATTTGTAATAAAAACTAAACTCCTCTGACTCAACAGAAACCCAAACAGCCCAATTAAAAATGGGCAAAGAAACAGACTCGCCTATGCAGAGAACGGACTGAAGGTTGCCAGAGGGAACGGGGGCTGCGGGACTGGGTTCCAGTTTCTCCACATCCTCTCCAACACTTGTTATTTTCTGTTCCTTGTTGTCATTTTAATAGCCATCCTAATGGCTCATCATAGTTTTGTTTTGCATTTCCTTCTAATGATCATGGGCATTGAATATCTTTTCAAGTGCTTATTGGTCATTTGTATACCTTTGTTGGAAATGTCCATTCAACTCCTTTGCCTAGTTTTAAAAATTTTATTTTTCTATTACAGTTTATATTCAATATTATTTTGTATTAGTTGCATGTATACAGCATAGTGGTTAGATAATCATATACTTTACAAAGTGTTCTGATATTTCCAGTACCCGCCTGGCACCATGCATAGTTATTACACCATTCCCTATGCTGTATCTTACATCCTCACGACAATTTTGTAACTACCAATTCGCACTTCTTAGTCTCTTCACCTTTTCACCCAGTAGCTGGCCACACTCCAAACTACATATAGGGTCCCCATCCTCTCCAGCTTCCCAGCAGAGGGTGAGCTGGTGGAGACAAGCAGCATCAGGAGCCTTGGGGAGCCTGAGAAATGGCATGGCAAAGGGAAGAAGGGTCCAGCACACTTGTGGGAACTAGCAGTGACAGGCATCCCCTAGGCAGGATGAACCCTGCCACCTGCTCCATAATTCTGGGGCCTAGTGCAAAACAAAAATGCAGGGTTCCTGTACAACTGTTATGGTCTCAAGCAAATGAAACCATATTGCTTAAAGCAAAGCATTAAACTAATCCAAGGGCCTTTCTAAGTGTGAGTCGAATGCTCACGAAGCCACTCCTGCTGGCATGTTAGAGTCTGGGTTCCCAAGAAAGGACTGGATCAGCCTGGGAGAGGCTGCAGCCTTCTCCACCCATCCACGGCTCTGGAACTGCACCTGAGCCAGGAATCGCCTCTGCGCTGCCACCTGCTGGCCACCCCGGGCCACTGTACCTCCCTTCAGAAAGAAGGACCTTGGGTAAGCAGGAAAATTGGCTTAGTGATCGCTGGGTCAACTCAGCCTTTCCTTTCACTGAACAGAAAACAGCTTGGGTGCAGGCACACACACACCTGGAGGCAGTGGCATTCTGCCCAAGGTTACATCAGCCAAAGCACCTCAATGATGATGGCAGCACTTACCTTTCTGTTCTTTACAATCCCACGAAGTAGAGATGATACCCCCATATAGATGAGGAAATGAAATGAATTTGGGCTTTCTGACTACTATGGTTGTCTCCCTTCTCTCTTTTCTAGCCACTCCCCTCATTGTTCTTTGGATACCCACTGGCCCAAGTGCTGATACACTGTGGCCTGGGGGTGGGGTGGTGGCCCAGGCCCACACTCAGCATAATGCCATTACCTGGCTTCAGGGTGGGCCTGTAGCCCAAGGGCAGTGGAGGGGACTTCTTTTTAGCTGGGGCAGTTGGGAAGGATATTTCTATCTCCCTCCTGACTTTAGGATGAGTACACCTGAGGTTTACTACCTGAACTGCAGCAAGAGGCACTTTGCCACATGATGAAAGCTGGTCTGAGCATAAAGCTGACATGGAGAAATGGGGGAAGAAAGACACAAAAGGGAGTCCAGGATGATATCTTTGAGCTGCTGGATTGAGTCAGCCCTGAAGTTCAAGTCAGGGTTCCCAGCACTTTGCAATGCTGGAGCCAGTGAATCCCCTTGAGTATGTAAACAGCTTTGAGCAGCTGCTTGCAACGAAAGGTGTCTCATGCACAAGTCTTTCAAACTTCTATCTGCCTCTCTAGCCCCATCTGCTGGGGATCTTCTTCCTTGACTGATCCCCAATCTTCAAGCCCATCTCCCTTGAGTCCTCAACAAGGCACCAGCCCTCTCTCTCTCTCCAGGGCCTTTGTACAAGCTGTTGTGCCTGCCCAGGGCACTCTCCCCTCCCCCACAGGTACCCTTATGGTCTCAGCCTAAATGGCATCTCTTCAATGAGGCTCTAACTCCAGGTCACTCCAGAAACATCTGCCGAGCTCCTGCTCTGCCAGGCAACAGGCCAGGCCCAGCTCCCCACGAGGAGCTCTGGAGATGCTGGTGATCTCAGAGGAAGCAATGGGAATCAAATGGCCACACTATGCTCTCAGATGAGAGAAGTGAGACCTGGGCCTGGAAGTGAGAGTGTGGCTGGGTGAATCTGGAAATTTCAAAGAAAGCCATGAGGCTGGAAAGCAGAGGGGGAAGTTGGGAATAGATCTTACTGTCTTGGTCGTGTGGGATGGTGAGGAGGGCTGGGATTCTGGGTATATTGTGAAGGTAGTTGGCCTTCCATGTTTGCCAAGCTACTCCTGATTCGGTTTCCACTGCAGGTATGCAAATAATAGTCATGGTTCAGTGAGAGTTGTATTTCTCCTTGAAGTTCATATATTTTTATATGGAATTTGTTACTGTGATATCATTTATATGCCATAAGTCACCCTTTTTATTCATTATTTTTTATGTTTTTTTATATTGATTTCAGAGAGAGGGAGAGGGAGAGAGACAGACACACATCAATGATGAGCAAATCATTGATCAGCTTGGGGACTGAGCTCACTACCCAGGCATGTGCCCTGACTGGGAATTGAATTGTGACCTCCTGGTTCATGGGTCGGTGCTCAACCACTGAGCCACACCGGCCGGGCAAGAGTTACCCTTTTTTTTTTTTTTAATATATCTTTATTGATTTCAGAGAGATGAAAGGAGAGGGAGAGACAGAGATAGAAACATCAGTGATGAGAGAGTCATTGATCAAGCCAGCAACCCGGGCATGTGCCCTGACTGGGAATTGAACCCTGATCACCCAGATCCCAGGTCGATGCTCAACCGCTGGGCCACGCCCGGCCGGGCAAGAGTCACCCTTTTAAAGCGTCAATGTAAGAAATGCCTGAACCTTAGAGAACTTTTTTATAAGAGTTTATTTGAGCCAAACAGACAACATGCTGGGGATCAACATCTCAAAGGCTCCAGAGAATAACAGTTTTGGATCTTTTTTTATGCACTTGAAATTAAGGAAAGTAAAGAAAATTACATGAAGGTAGGAAAGCAAGGCAGGGATTAGATTATAGGATAGTTAATTATGTAACAATTATGTGCTTCCTTAAGGGTGGTTGTTTCAAATGTGTGTTAACCTAGATGTGCAGAAATAATGGACAGGACTTGCTTAAGGCCAAGATAAACCTTTTACTAAAAAGTTGTAGGCCTGCCCTAGCCAGTGTGGCTCTGTAGGTTGAGCATCATCCCATGCACTGTGAGGTCCCTGGTTCAATTCCCGGTCAGGGCAGATTTCCCAGTTTCAGGCTTGATCCCCAGTAGGGAGCATGCAGGAGGCGGCTGATCAATGATTCTCTCATCATTGATGTTTCTATCTCTCTCTCCTCCCTTCTCTATCTAAAATCAATAAAAACATATTTTTTAAAAAGTTGTAGGTGACTACTCACCATGAACTGCCCAGTAAGGAATTTATAATCAGGCCACCCTGTGAGATTACTTTCCATAGAACCCCTGTTTTTGTCCACAAAAGTGTACACTTGAGTGTTTTCTTGGTATATTCACAAAGTTGTATGACCGTCACAACTATCTAATTCTAAAACATTTTCATGACTTCACAAAGAAACCAACATACCCTTTAGCAGCTATTCTCCATTCCACCCTCCACCCCAAGTCCCTGGAAACAGTAATCTCCTTTCTTTTTATTTATTGATTTGAGAGAGAGAGAAACATCAATTTGTTGTTCCGCTTATTTATACACTCATTGGTGGTTTCTTGTATATGCCCTGACGGGAGATTGAACCTGCAACCTTGGCGCATCAGGACGATGCTCTAACCAACGGAGCTACCCGGCCAAGGCAGTAA